TCCTTTTCCCTAACTCTCTTACTTTCACTTCTTCTTCATTTTTCAATTGAATTTGGTCCTCATATACTTGTGCGGGTGTTAATGGCGCAAGATTGATAGACCTCCCATCTTTCACAAAGCTATACTTGTTTTTATACCCATCATGCCTCGCTTTCCTATCGTACTGCCATGGTCTCCCCAACAAGATATGCCTCGCGTGCATAGGTACAATATCACACATTACCTCATCCTGATATCTACCAATGGAAAATTTAATCAACACCCTTTTTATCACCTTAACTTCCCCACATTCATTTAGCCATTGTAATTTATAAGGCCTAGGATGTTTTAACAGTGTCAAACCCAATTTTTCCACCATGTTAGTGCTAGCCACATTAGTACAACTATCGTCATCTATTATCAAACTACATACCTTGTCATTGACGTGACATCACATGTGGAATATGTTTTCTCGCTGTTGCTCCAAGTCATCCGCTTTGATTTGAGCACTAAGAGCTCGCCTCGTAACCAACAACTTACTGTTAACTACATACTCCATTATGTCTTCTTCATCAACATTCTCCAATTTTGGCATATCTACATAATCACTTTCAGTTTCCACTTCCCCGCTGTCCCATTGAATCATGGTTATCTTATTTGGGCATTGAGAAGCAATGTGCCCCACTCCCAAGCAACGAAAATATTTGATATCTCTGTTTCTTGATGATTGTGACTCCCCCTTTGGAACGACCTTGCTAGCACTACCTTAGTTCTTCCTCTTGCAACAGTTTTTTCTCCTTTGTTATTGTCCCACTTCAATTTCCCAGAAAAATTAGAACCCGAAGATCCCGATTAGTACCTTGTTGTTCCCTTTCATTTCAACTGCCACTCAACCTTCATTGCCACATGTAACATGTCTTCAATTTCCACATAGTGCTACAATTCCACTGTATTTACAATGTCCCTGTTCAATCCACGCAAAAATCGAGCCATGGTAGCTTCACTATCCTTCTCCACATTTTCCTAATCATTAGTGTCTCCATCTCTTTATGGTAATCTTCCACACTCCTGGAACCTTGATATAAATTTTGTAATCTTTGATGAAGCTCCCGGTAGTAGTGAGTAGGCACAAACCTCTTCCGGATTATAGTTTTCAATTCTTCCCATGTATTGATAGGTCGCTCCCCACTTTTCCACCTCAAAGTCAGCACCTGATCCCACCAAGTCATTGCATAGTCCATGAATTCAAAAACTGCAAATTTTACCTTCTTCTCTCTCAAGTAATTGTAGTAATCAAAGATTAACTCAATTTTCTTCTCCCAGTCCAAATAGGCCTCCAAATCACTCATACCTTTGAACGAAGGAATGATCATTTTAATGTTACTCAAATTTTCATCCACCTCATCTCCACTGAGATTCCTACCTCTCATTTCTTACCTAACTCCTCTATATAGACCCTTTCCAAAATCTGCATCCACAATCGCATCTTCATCCATCCCACTATCAACCTCAAATTTACTAAACTCCTCCATCCTAGGTTCCCATCTACCTTATCTCCATGCATGTTCGTATGAAACCCACAAGTGTACGGGATCATTGACAATGAATAAATTTAGTGAGTTAAGAGTATCGTCCCAAGAAGAATAAAATTTAATTAAGTATACTATTATTTAATTAGATTCAAAGTAAATGAATAAAAGTGATTTTTGTGATTTTTAATTATTCTAATTTAATCTATGAAAACGTGTAAAATGTGAATTTAATATGTATATGGGAAGAGTGTCCAATACATGAGAAAAATTAGCCTAACATATTGTTGGAATTAAACACATAAATTTGGAAAGACACCACCGAGAAATTGACGGAAAGTGAATTTATTTTCCAATTTCGTGTTGCGCCGCCTTTTCCTTTCAATTTCGGCTCCAACAGCCACTTTTTTCTCCAATTTATTGCAGTTTTTGTGTTTATATATACTTGATGAACAGCCGTGTATATATGTATGTATTTTAGCAGCCTTTTATGTATTCATGATGCTCATAACCGCCCTATTGACTCACAAAACAAATCCAGTTCTTCTTCAATTTCTCAGCCCAATTGTTGTGTGTTTTATAAATAATTCCAGCAGCCTATGTATGAATGTATATTATACACCAGCAGCCGACAGTTGTATGTGTGTCTATTCCCTTCTTCTCTCTTGTTTTCCAAGCTGCCGACAATCGTATATGCTTCCCCAAATTGAGCATCTGTCTTCCCTCAATTATTTGTGTTTTTTGTGTGTATATATCTTGCAAATTCAGCCCCCGACTCCTGCCGTTTTTTCTGTAGGTTTTCTTCCCTTCTTCTTCTACTGCATGTGTAAGAATATACATATGTATAGATACACCACAAACGGTAGCTCCCAAGAATCCCTATTCCCATTAAATTCCAATTACCCGCTACAAGTCAAAAAGGGCCCAATTAGATTGATATTTACTTTGGGGTCCTTAATTCTTCCATGCAATGCAAGTTAATCCTTGATACAATTTTCTTTGTGTGGTCAATGTCCTCCTTAACTTCAACTTGTGAAATTTAATCCCAAATCATAAATTTTAATCGATTATGTCCTTCTTCCTTTCCACTTGCTTCAAATGGGTTCGTCACTAAAATCAAAATAAAATTAACCCAAGTTAAAGAGAAATTAATAAATTGACGACATATAAACTTAATAATGTGGCCTAAATAAATGCACAAATTGCACTTATCAAACACCCCAAACTTAAACTTTTTTTCGTTCTCGAACAAACACATAGACATGCAAAATTACTTGGTTAAACTGTTTAACTTTTTAACTCAGGATTTAAAATTATGGCATTAAATCTAAAAACTGCTTCAAAGTCACAATATCAAACTAATATCCACTTTTTCAATGCAAAACTGACGTGTGTGTGTGAAGAACTAAGTAGACATTAATGAATTCACAAATTGTTTCAATTTCCGACCCTCTATAGTCAAATATATCCTTTCATCTCTCGTAAGATTCACACAGCCCCAAACTCATTTTTTTTCACTCTTTTCCCAGGGTGTGATCTAAGATTGAATTTTTCATTAATATTCTCACATCTCCAATTCAGGTGGACGTCACTCGTTGCAAGTCAACACATCAATGAATAAGGATTCTCAAATTATTTGATTGCTTCGATCGTCAAGACTCATTTAGGCTATTATCCTTCATTGAATGTTAACTCCCTCGATCAAGTGTTGGAATTTAACAAGGCAATAAGTGCTTTCCTTTTTTTCATGCACTTGCTTTTTCTGATTTTTAAAAGTTTTTTTTTCACTCCCCCTTAAGCTTTCTAGATGACCCATGTAGCAGGCTTTAGGCCGATGATTTCCAAGTCAGATGACTTTAGGGCATCAGATTTTTAAATACCCTTACAGGTTTAATAACCCGAGTCAAAAAGGTTTCGAAGAAAATAATTTTTTTGGACAACTTCATCTTTGATTGCTTTTTATATGACCTCTGTAACGAGTTTTAGACCGAGAACTCTCAATTCAGATGACTTTAGGGCACCATGTTTTAAGATACCCTTGCAGGTTTAGTTGCTCGAGTCATAAAAGCTCCGAAAAGAAATTTTAAATTTCAAAATATATGCTTTGATTAGTGCAATGCACTTTATCACACACCTATTCAAGCAAACTGACCTCCAATTTAAGACTTTCACACCCAACTTTATCATGTTAATCTCAGACAATCCATACGAACTTTTCATACAAGGAATCCAGATTCACATCCGTATCTTCCTATAACAGTAAGATCCCCCAAATTGTGCTAAATTTGGTCTAAGAATAGATAATTGGTATGGTTTGGGTAAAGCATCTATGTCCAGTTACATCAATCTATCACATGCATGAATCAATTTATTTCATCACAATGTCAGCTCAGTTCTAGTGTGCATATAATATCAAGTTTTGTAAGTTTAAGTTTCAATCAGTCTAGCATGCATCCTATCCACAGTTCATAAATCAACACCAGATTTCAATTTTAATTATCATTGTCAGTCAAACTGTCTAACCCACACAAACACACAACCACGAATAAATAAATAAATTTGACGATTTTTTTTTAATTTAGCACACAAGAACAATTTTTTTTTCTTTTTAAATAAACACACAAAAACAAATGCACAAAAAAAAAATACGAAAACCGATAAATTTAAAATTTTTCCCATCCCCAAACTTAAACCCGACATTGTCCTCAATATCTTAAAGCATAATTAAGAATGTAAAGGGACAGGAAAGAAAAGGACTAAGGTACTCCTTGAATTTTTTCAGTGAGTTTGGAAGGGATTATGGATGACGGCTAGACAATCTTCCTCATCATGCTTTTCTCTTGGTCTATATTGATTTGAGTGTTTTATGAGTTCATGTTTCTGCATATGACAATCAAATCAAACATTAAAAATCAAATAACCTAGAACATGTGTTACTTAGCCCAAACACTCAAAATAACCAACATTAAGCTTAAAGGTCTAAGTGGAAACATGATAGGATGAAGATACTCTCTAAATTTAAACGTGCCTAAATCTAATGCAAACTAATAATCAGAACAAGTCTATATGCAATGCGATGTAGAAAGCAAAATAAATAAATGGTAATGAAATTGGATTGCCTCCCAATAAGCTCTTAATTTATAGTTTTTAGCTAGAATTTGTTGCTTCGGCCATTCATGGTGGCTTGAAGAGAGAATTTTCAACTCTACATTTTATGCACTGATTGCACTTCCTTCTTTCATCTTTCACCCTCCACACAATTAAATTTCCATCGGTGTCCCTACCAACAATTTCACCTTCATTTGGCCTGCTTTTGTAGCTCTCCGAATGATCTACTCGTTGACAATCCTCAAAGTATGATGGTTGCTTGATTGGATTCTCTATGGTGAAGCTCTGTTGCTTATCCTCCACCCTCGAGATTATTTCATTAGCATCAAAATCTAGCAAGGCTCGGCTTGTAGACAATAACGACCTTCCCAGAATTATTGGCATCTAAAATGCCTCTTCAACATCGAGGATGATAAAGTCAACTGGAAAAATAAACTCCCCCGCCTTGATAAGAATGTCTTCAACTATTTCGTAAGGGTGTTTCAATGATCGGTCCGCTAGCTGAAGAATAATAGATGCCGCATTAGGATCTCCTAATCCTAGCTTCTTGTAAAGAGGTAAGGGAATGAAATTAATACTCGCTCCTGAATCAATTAAACAATTTATATTATTTAAATTTCCTATGGAACAAGGTAGAGTGAAACTCCCTGGATCTTTAAATTTGGGAGGGATCTTGTGCTAGAGATCGCAATGCACTCTTCAGATAGTGCTATTGTTTCATGTTCTGGCAGCTTTCTCTTCTTAGTCAGCATCTCCTTCAAAAACTTAGCATAATTTGAAATTTGTAGAATAGCGTCAATAAAAGGAATGTTGAAGTGAAGTTGTCCGAGGGTGTTCAAGAATTTTTTGAATTGTTTGTCTAGTTTATTGTTCTGCAACCGTTGAGGGAATGGAACTAAAGGTGTGTTTTTATTGCTAAGAGCGGTCGCCTTGACCTATGGATTGTCTGACTATTCTTCTTGATTAACATTTGATGTTTTTTTTTCAGGCTGACCCACTTGTTCCTTCTCCGAGGTAGGTACTCAATTCTCCTCGGTCCCCATCTTCTTCACTGTGATTTCTGGCAGCTAAACTCCGCTTCTCATTGTGATAGCCTAGACTTGTTCATTTTTTGGTTGTCTTTGAAGCCTTTGAGGAAATGGGATAGGCAGCATATAAGCTCGAATAGGTGTAGCAGGCTTGATTGATGGTGTCTCAATAGTTGCATAATTCATAGCTTCAACTGCTAATACATGTTCCTTTGGATTCTTTTCTGTATCGCTCGACAGAGTACCTTGTGCTCTATTGGCTAATGCAGCTGCTATCTGTCCCACATGTTTCTCTAAATTATGTATAGAGGCTTGCTGATTCTGTATCACCGTCTCAGTCTTGGTGACGTACTTGATAAGTAGATCCTCTAATGATTGCCTCTTTTCTTCTTGTTGCTAAATCGCTGGTGGATTGCCCCTCATTTGATTTACTTGATCTGAATTATCAACCCACGCGTAGTTAGGATGCTTGTTCAAACTCGGATGGTAGTTGTATGGGTAAGGTCCATTTTACCTCTGATAGTTTACGCATAACTGACTTCTGCTGGCTGACCTATATAAGGAGAAGCCTAAGGGCAACTTGCAGTAATGTGATCTGTCCCACAACTTGTGTACTTAGAAGCTGGAGTTTGTACCATATTCACAGTCTGGGTCAAAGAGTCAAGCTTTCTAGTTATTGTCTCCATCTGTGCTGTCAACGCTATCACTGCATCCACATTATATATAACAGTTATTTTCCTCAGGACTTCCTTGTTACTCGACCACATCGATTGATTTTCTGCTATCCTCTCATACAGCTCATAAGCATCGTCCACATTTATAGCCATTATCTACCCTCCCGCTGAAGCATCTACCATATTCTTGAATTCTTGGCATATTCCATAGTAAAAGATATATATTTGTGCTTGTTTAGGAATGTCAAGATTGGGGCACTTCTTTAATAAGTTCTTATACCTTTCCCATGCCTCTAGATAGCTCCCAAGGTCTTTCTGCTTAAAGGTATGGATTTCGCCGAATTTGATGAACTCGAATTGGCGGAAAAAACTTCATGGTAAATTTTTGAATCATGTCATTCCATGATATAATGCTCCCAGGAGATTGTGACATCATTCATATTTTCGCACCTTCCTTCAAAGTGTGAGGAAATAGACGCATTCGAAATGCATCCCGTGACATCCCCTTGTGGCTAATTACATCACACAGCATGGTTAGAGCTTGAATGTGTTTATGTGGATTTTTCGTAGATTTCCCGCTGAACCTGATGTCTTGATGATTTTGAAAGAGGTTTATGACATCTGGTCAAATGTGGAAGTTAGAGTCCAAAGGGCGGATAAATGATCGGAGGTTGAATCGGTGCTGGTACTGGATTTACAAAATCTTTCACTAAAGCTTCTCCATGATTTGCTACTGCCCTCGACTGATCTGACTGAATTGGCTGAGGTAGTGGCAAAGGGTTCTGAACTTGATTCTGATGTTAGTTTTTTGTCATAGCTCTCGCTTGTCTCTAATCTCTTCTTCGCTGTCTGAAAGTTCTTTCGATTTCGAGATCTATTGGAAGAAGCTCGATCTCGTCATAATTTTGCATAAATTGTGATTTCCTGAAAAGAGTAAAATGAGAGACTTAGATCGTTCAATGAATAACTGGAAACAAATAAAGTAAAGAAAAAAGCAAAAGGAATAAAAACTTCAAATCTAAAAATAACTAATAAACTCAAATTAAATAAATTTTTCCTTGGCAACGGCGCCAAAAACTTGTTCGTATAAAACCCGCAAGCGTACGGGATCGTTGACAAGTAATAAATTTAGCGAGTTAAGAGTATCGTCCCACGAAGAATACAATTTAATTAAGTATACTAGTATTTAATTAGATTCAAAGTAAATAAATAAAAGTGATATTTGTGATTTTTAATTATTCTAATTTAATCTACGAAAACGTGTAAAATGTGCATTTAATATGTATATGGGAAGAGTGTATTGGATTACGAATCCAATACATGAGAAAAATTAGCCTAACATATTGTTGAAATTAAACATGTAAAATTGGAAAGACATCACTGAGAAATTGACGGAAAGTGAATTTATTTTCCAATTTCATGTTGCGCCGCATTTTCCTTTCAATTTCAGCTCCAACGGCCACTTTTTTCTCCAATGTATCACAATTTCTGTGTGTATATATACTTGATGAACAGCCGTGTATAAATGTATGTATTTCAGCAGCCTTTTATGTCTTCATGATGCTCATAACCGCCCTATTGACTCACAAAACAAATCCAGTTCTTCTTCAATTTCTCAGCCCAATTGTTGTGTGTTTTATAAATAATTCCAGCAGCCTATGTATGAATATAATATACACCAGCAGCCGGCAGTTGTATGTGTGTCTATTCCTGTTGACACATAAAAATTCAATTTGTGTATATATACTTGATGAACAGCCGTGTATAAATGTATGTATTTCAGCAGCCTTTTATGTCTTCATGATGCTCATAACCGCCCTATTGACTCACAAAACAAATCCAGTTCTTCTTCAATTTCTCAGCCCAATTGTTGTGTGTTTTATAAATAATTCCAGCAGCCTATGTATGAATATAATATACACCAGCAGCCGGCAGTTGTATGTGTGTCTATTCCTGTTGACACATAAAAATTCAGCCCAAGTCGAACAGCCCAAGGAGTAAAGCCCAATTGGAGAATCCCCAAATCGGATGGCCCAAAGAACGAAATCCAATCGAACAAGTCAAGGTGAAGGCCCAAATAAGGGGGCCAAGAATGCGGTAACGCCATCGCCCAAGTTTGCAAGTCGCCCAGAATCTGAACGAATGGAGTGTCATACGGTCGTCCAGAGCTGTTATTCTACTCTCGCCCAAACCTTCAAGTCGCCCAAGGTATCAACAAACATAATGCATCGTGGTTATCAAGGAATGCAGTTATCAAGGCAGTTGTTAAAGTAACCTTATCACATTCCACGACTCAAGGAATTCAATCGAAAGCGGTTGAACGATGAAAGATAATGGCAGTAGTTAAGAGGCAGTTTCATGACAAAATGGCCACTACAAAGAAAGTGGGTAGTTATAGGACGATCAAGCAGTTTTCAGAGTAGTTAATCACAAAGAGATCGTCTATGAGGTATAAAAGGGAGAAAGGACACAGAAGCAAAGGACCGAATCCAAAACTCTCGAACAGAGAATATGTAATTTTCATTTCCTTAGCTTTTAGACTTAAACACTTTTCTTTCTGTAACTCGTGTGCTTGCACCCCTTGGAGGCACGTTGTTTTTCGTTTCCAATTGTAAAGTTCATCGCCAATAAAAGAACACCCGAGATAGTATGAAACGTATTAGTGAACAAATTGGTAGAATTAGAACTACATTATTATATTACTATTTCATCAAGTAAAAAACAAGCATTTGAGAACTATTGTATTCAATTGGTATGGAATCCAAAAAATTTGTAACCAATGTAGGATATAGGTGGAATTCGATCCACTTATTACTCAAATCTTCTAAAGATTATGAAGCATTAATTACTAAATTTTATAATTCCAGGCATACCAAGAAAAAAAAATAGAGGAAAGAGTTAAGACTCTATTTTGATATATAATGTTCGGAAATTGGCTTTTAAAATTAAAAGATTTTTGACAAGTTTCTATAATTCTACAAATATATTATCTAGTGTATACTACCCACTAGTGCTAAAGTTCTTGAATGACTTTTTTGTTATTGCAAGAACTTCCAATAAATATAGAAATGATCCCGATTTTATTGAAATATTATTTCCATTAGAAAAGATTGGGAAAATTTATCTATGTTATTTCCTTTAAGGTGCGTGATGGACCATAGGTATAATTTAAAAGGTACAAAATATTTTATAAGAAAAATCACAAATTCTTAAAGTTTTGATGCTCCTATCACATATTCTAATTTAGCTGGATACCCCTTTGATAGCTCAATAATAACTAACCAAGAGGGAGTGAATTGATTTTTTCAAAATTTTTCAAAAAAAAAAAAAAACTTAAATCAAGTAAGCAAAGGATATGTTGATTAATAATATTCATAAGCAAATATAAGCAAGTAGATCAATCAAATGATAAACATAAATGAGATAAAGATAAGTAAAAGGGTAGAGAGGACGCAAACGACATAATTGTGGATATTCTATCCAAAGCAATGATCTACGTTCTCCGTTACCAAACTCTCCGATATGAGCAAAGCCTTTTCACTATGTTGATTGACTTATGGTATAATCAAATCCTTTACAATCTTTCGGTGACTTACAAACAATGAGCACCGATCCTAATATAATATTGAACATAACGGGACCTCAACATGACTCACACTATTGAACTTTATGAGACCTCAATATGATCCACAATTTAGAGAAATGGTTTTATAATGAAATTTCTCTCTTAATAAATGATACAAATGAATTACGTATTAAGAGAGACTAAAGCTTCAATGAATAGCAATAAATGATAGCTCAATTGTTATATGAAAAAAACATTGATGAATATGATGATTTCAAAGTTTAATTCAATCAATCAAAATTTTTTAATGAGAAGATGAAGAAGAAATAAGTGCAATTTTAGTTCAAAATCTTATCAAAATATCCCTCTTTTAATGAATAATGATAATAAATTAAGTATCAAAAGCGAGATGTAGAACTTTAGTAAATATTATGAGTTACAAATTTGATTTAATAAATCAAAGTTTTGATATATAGTAGTGGAAGAAATAATACAATGTAAGTTCCAAACTTTTCTTCTAATTATATCTCTCTTTTGTGAATGATTGAAATAAGGTAAATAAAAAAAGATGAAAAACTTTGATGATGATGATGATGATGATGATTAAGTGCTTGTTGGTGCTCCATTATTTTTGAGTAATATATTATTGAATAGTGATTGATATTAAAATGTGTGGTTAAAAAAGGAAGAAAAGTTTTTGATTTACGTGTAATATTATTTTAATAAGGAATGTATGATTGAAAATGAGTATTATAAAAAAAATAATGTGGTGGAATGCAGTAGAATGGTAGACAAAAAATAATGTGGTAGAATGCAGCAGAATGCATGGTTAAAAATGAGTGTTATAGAAAAAGGAGTTTGAATCAATTAAAATTTTTGATATGAAGAAACAAATGAAATGAATGCAAAGCAAAACTTAAAGAATTTCCAAACCAAACAATATCTCACTTTGATGCTCTTGGAAGTGTTAAAATGAATGCAAGAAGTTGGGGAGTATTTATAGAGTTTCAAAACGTCAAAAAAATTTGTATTTGAGGAAGATTCATCAGGTCGATCGCCTCTTGTCGGGATGATCAATATAGTCATTTGTACAATAATATCAGAACTCAAAATTAGGGCTGGACATGGTCCGGTTTTGTTCGGTTCTAAAGAGAATCGAACCGACCCAAAATTTTCGGGTATTTAGTAAGTGGAACCGTCGGGTCCAAATTTAATTACGGAACTGTTCGGGTTCGGTTCCATTCGGTTCGGTTCGGTCCGGTTCGGTTCCATTCGGTTCCGTATCATAATTAAATTTTTTTATATATACAAAGTTACGTTAATTTAATTAATGATATATTTAATATTAGCTCTTACAAAATAAAGTAGTTCAATCTTATGTATTTCACGTTTCTCTTTGTTGAATTCTTCATAAATTTGATTATTAAAATCACAGAAAGAGAAAGACAGCGAGCTCAAAATAATTAAGAGAGATGTAGAGCTTTAATTCGATTTTCTCTGGTAGAAACGACACTACAGTAGAATAACAGATTTGGATAAAATTGAGGTCAATTTGATTAAATCGATTTTGAACTGAATATTAGAAATA